TTTTCCCCACACATTCACTTGTAATCTCATAAGAAGAAATGATGTTGCACTGTTTGTGCGATTTTCGTTTCCCTATAGCTTTGCAAAATTAGACCTAGTGCTGCAAAAACGTTATTTGCTATGTTTTGTCGTGATACGGATATCGGTTGTTACTAGCTGTTAGTTTGTACCGTTAACATAAGCAATTCTCTAGAGACCAGCAAAAAGTCAGTCAAAGACTCTATCAATAAGTCATTGGCAGATGTAGAATAATTGTATAATTAAACGATTATTAAAAATATCATAAAATGTATTTTGGCTTGTATTAGTTATTTAATTATAAGTTGCCACATATATACATATATACACATACCATTTATTATATGGTTTATTTTTATGAAAAAGTTATCACTTTGTGTTGTAATAATTCCTCAAGACCTGTGACCTCATTGACTCCATCGTGCTTTGTCACCATTTATATGCGCCAAGTTTTGATACCACATTGTTGCCTTCTTTGTATTTTATATTTAATAATATACAAATTATTAATATTATATTTTTATTGGTGCGGTATTTGTGCTCAAGTTGATGAACCGATTGCATCAGTTCTCTCTCTTAAGTATTAACTTGTTGACAGTATGATTCCAAGTGCAGCAATTCACATTAGGCTGTTCCTTGTGTAGCCTAAAGAATATCGCTTTGAAAGTCCAAAAAATCGTTATTACATTTTTGAATACTGCTACAACACAGCATATTATTTTTGTGGTCCCCCGACTGCACTTTAACCAGGGGTGGATACAAAGAGGGGGGCAAGTTGTTAAAAAATTGAAAATTGTCATACGCACTGCTCGCGCCATCTAGCTGTAGCGGTCGCAGTCTACCGACCGCCGTCCGATGCACACAGGCCGGGCAACCTTTTATCAGTGTTGCCACAATAATTCTCATGGTAAGGTTTGGTATTTTTTCGTGGGGCTAATACCGATCAAAGGGAACGCTCTTGGTGCGGCCCGTCTAGAACAACCTAACCGCCCGAGGGAAACGGCGAGCCATAATAATAATAATAACGATAATAGACACTCGGGTGTATCATAATAATAACACCGGCGACAATGCATTATTTTCAATTAATAAACGGCGGCGCAGGCATCAGCGACAGGTCGGGGACCTGGGGCACGAGAGTCCCCGGTGCAATTTAAAAACAAAGAAAGAGGAAAAATTACTCGTCGTGACGCTTTACGGCCGTTTCGGTGCTTTGAAAATTTAGTGCCAACAAAATCGACAAAGTTACTCCGCCGGTTGTTTGTCATGCGGTACACACACACACACACACTCGGGGGGCCGAGTCTCTTTTTTTTATTTATTTAGTTTTTTTTCACTCTCTCTCTTTGACGTCCACGCCATTTGTTTGTCGACTTAGCGCGCCTTATTTCAAGGGGGTTGACTCGTGATCGGCCACGGGGGGGAGGTGGCGACCGTCCGTAAATTATGCGTTCGCCAAAAGTTACACTATCCCCCTTTGAAAAAAAACCGCTCATGCTATTGTTATTATTCGCAAGTCCTCGACGGCTCGAGCAAAAAAAAAAAACAGCTCACATTTGTTAACGTCTTAGTAACCTCTATCCTTACCACGGCTAACCACCGGTCATGACCGCGGCCCATGCGATCGACTCGTTAGTGGATTGCATTGTACACATTAAAAACTGTCTACAGCTGATAAACAAATACAAACAAACGTACACAGGTTGGACGATAAGACGCTATACCGATGTGGCTGAATTCGATACATGGAAGGCGCGACCGTGTTGTGTACAATTTCATGGAAAGTAAAACGTTACTAAGTTACTTTTCCATAATACACAATGTTGCGGTTATCCTAAGATAAAATAAGTGTCTTCACCCTGCAGCGTCTTCCCCGACTCTGGCTTTAGTATTTTTAGTATTTTGTTTTACTATACACACAAAATTGTGTACAACCTAATACAAATTAGAGGCAGAACTTTTCAAATCTAGATTCTCTTCGAAAACATATTGTATTTATTTTTGAAAAAAACAATGACCTAAAACGTACAACAAGGTATACAAAAAGCAATAATAAAGCAACAGATAATAACTGCTGATAATGTTTAAATACATTCGAAATAATCTAAAAGCAATACAGAATAAATGTATGTATAAATATAAATGCTTTAGGTTTTCAAACTTTGAAAACACACATAATTTAGCCCTTAAGCATTTTATATTTATATTTTTTTAAATTATTAGTTCTTGGGTTAATTTGTAACAGTTCTCCGTGCTTCTCTATTTTAACTTAATTCTTTCAGATACTTGTATTTTCCTTTATTAATATCCCTCATTGTTTTGGTTATGTATTCGGCCTTGGCCTTGGCTCTGCCAATGTGTCCTCCAACATCTCCTTCAATTATCGTCTTTAGTAAGCTTTCATATCTTAATATGTGTCCTATCATTTTTTCTCTTTTCTCTCAATTTCAAAATATTTTAGGTGATTTACAACAATGTCCTCTGGGTATCACTGGTATATAATAGGACATTACATGTATATTACCACGGGACTCGATTTCAGTAGTTTTGTATGAAATATAACTGTACAAATATTTGTTCGCGGTCACGCTGAAAGTTTATGAAAACTAAAACTAAATATGGTTCAACCAAATTACCCTATACGAGGAAGTCGATTATTAATATTTAGTTTGTTCGGACGGCGGCAGTGGTTCATTTTCTAGTGTCATGTTAAAATTAGATATTGATGACATACAGTACCGTTGTCGGTGATCGATCATCAATGACCAAAAGTCCGGTTTGCTTAAGCATAAAATCACCGCAACAGTGTTAATTATATTATATATTGTACCGCAGTAAGTTAGCGTTACAAGGGTTCGGCGTCATGACCGAAAACACCGTGGCGGACAGCAGAGGCGCTTAGGCATGATTAATCATATTTGCTCGATGAGTTTAGTAATTAAATTCTCGGTAAGATTCGTGTACGGGTTACCCGTGAATATAATAATACACTTGGTTCGGAAATTGTCGAGAGGACGGTCCCTTCGGTGCACTCGAACACAGTGTGCACTTCATTCATTTCAGCTTGACTACAATGGCATAACACGAAATTCTTTAATATATTAATAAAACACATTATTTCAAAAACCAATACTTTCTCAGCTGCCACACAGGGCCACCTACATTTGCCTAACAATTGTATTATGTAACAAGCGAATCTTGTAAAAACAGCACCTCCAATACTCTTGATTTATTCTTCATACATGCTATTTGCCAAATATTACCATCTTCATCGGTTTACAGCTACAATATTATGTTGTATACCATTTTAGGGACATTTGTGTATTATAAAGTTTTATCCTAAAGGTAATATTGCCCTTGAGGTGTGATTATTGACATACACACAGGTTTATTAAGTTAAGCGTTAGATCTTTTAGCGCTGAGACGGGCGCATCGAATTAATGTAAATTAAGAATAGCAGTGGATCTAAGGAGGTGCCTTGGGTAACACCATAGTCTGTAATCTCGTAATAGCTACTAAAAAACAGTGACTTGCGGTAGTAAGTCTTATAATATAACGATGACAAAAACAAAAAACTGTTTAAACTATTAAAATTATCTTCGACGTTGAAGTATTTTTTCTCAAACTCCGAACCGTCGTTTGGAACTAATAACAAATGTCACCGTCGTTATGGTTGGCAGTTGAGATGTGACTTTCAAGTATACTAGTCTCCCAGAGAGATTTCGACGTGACCGTGCATTTTTCTCGCAAAAGTTTTAATATAATCTGTCCGAAGTTCGGGCTTGGAGTGCTTTTTTTCCCGACACAAATTGGTAAGGGTAGTACTACTCTTGGAGACCAAAGATCACTCACGTCTTGCCGGGTTTCATACTTGGCGGTACTTACATGCCGGCTAACAAAATCGACAATGCTTCGATACTGATTTACCCATAGGCTATGTAACTAAACTACTTTGGGAAGTTCATCCTACGATTTCCACAGATCAGAATTATAATATTATTATCCTTCATACTAACACTGTACCTAATGGGATTTTAGTATTGTAAATGATTCCACAGTCTTAGACTATATCAGAAATAATCACTATTCAGGAGCCCGCAGGCTAAAGCGTGTTCCATGTTTTATAATTTTAGCTGTTAGGCTTTAAGTAGACTGTGACTTTTTTTTTTCGTTCCTTATTGTTATTTCTCGAGCGTACAAAAAAAAAAACCAAAAACATTATGTAGTATGAAAAGCGAAAGAGCTTTTATATTTTGAAATAAAAAATAATATAATCTGGACGTTTTTTTCGTGAGGAGAAAAGACAAGAAAAGTGGGCGTGCGATTCATGGTTGCCAAAGAGCGTAAAGTAGCACATTGCGATTTTCCATTGTAATTCACATCGGTCTTCGATGCAGAAAATACAACAAATCCTGCCCCCCCCCCCCACAAAAAAAAAATGTTTGAAATAATTTGGTCAACGTTCAACACACCAGGCTCATGCTACATGTTGACCAGATTATTTTACAAAACATTTAATACAATAATTAGATTGAAACAATACAACTCTTTTCTGAATACTTTTACATTTTCACACTCAATTTTATTAGTTTCCAAGGACAAGTAACCTATTCGATTCTTACTGTGATGATTTTTTTTTTTTTGGGGGGGGGGTTTCTGTTACACCAACTATTTTGTTGTAACGAAAAATCCAAAAAACCAGCTCACACCCTTAACGGCGGTAGTAGAAAATAATATTCGGCGGGTGTCCGTCGCGAGGGAGCCAGCTTAAGTCCAAAGCACCCCGCCGTCGCCTAAACCCATTTCGAGTCTTAACCGCACGGATTTGTTTTGGTACATACATACATACATAACGTACATTACCTTGTGGTTGTTATTATTCATATCTCGTTTGCACTGTATAATATGCGGCAAAAACGTTTTATATTAAAAACACACCGCCCTCGGGCTTACATTAACGTTACTTGTTTTGTTTTTTAAAGCTCCGGAAAAGAAGTTCGAAGTGTTCCAGCACCAAGTCAACAACGATACCATCCGGGTCACATGCTTGGTTACCCGTGTTTTCCCCATGCCCAGATTGACGCTGTTCAACAATTCCATCACCGACAAACAGTGAGTAGTAGTAGTATACAATGTGCAAGAAAAACTTATTTGAAAACTCTTAATTTACTCTTTAAATAACAATAACAAAAATGTACTAACGATATGAATAAAAAAATTAAGACTATAATTTGTACGATCGGAAGATGGTTAATAATCACAATAATATAAAAGGTAGAGTAAATATGAAAAATATATTTGAGACTTTCAGTATAGCTAGTTACTCTGAAAAGTGATTTAAATGATATTCCCATTCGAACTTGTTAACAAAATCAATCCATCAAATTATCTCAACCGAATTGTTTGTTTTTTTTTTCACAATACCAAATCGATCATGTTACAAGTTACAGCCAACTCAGAAATTTGTATAAGACTAGTTAAATACATTGTGAATGGGTTTGATGCGAACTAATAATTGGCAGAATATTTGTTTGTTTTTATGTTAAAAGAAATAAAACGATGTAATGATTTATTGTGCAAAGCAGTTTTACCAAAATTTCTTACAATTAGCCAGTTTCTGTGCAAATAATATTTCACAATCTTAAAACACTCTTAAAAAATAAATAAATAAATAATTGGTTACAAAACAACAGTTCAACGGAACTTTTATTGGTTTTTTTATTATTTACAGACGATAAAAAAATAATATATGCACGCGCAACATTTTTTTATGGACTTAAGGCAACAGCCGAAACGAATCTTGGAGATTAATGTACTAATACAAATCACTTGAATTTTATTTTCACAAAATATAATTATTAGTTGTTTACTTTACTTTTTATAAAATAAAGAAAATACCCTGTTCGAATATTTACCTAAGATTACTGTAAACATTAATTATCGTTGGGAAATTAAATCCACTTTTTTTGATAATCGAAATTAAAATAATTTTGTACATTTTCTCAATAATAATTATTTGTTTTGACTTTGTCAGTTAACCATTGTAAATTTTTTTTTTTTTGATAGACTTTATCATTGCAAAAATTTTAGCTGTCTATTTTAATACAACCTACTGTAATACCCTATGCATTACTTGTTTCACAAACATTGAAACTTTCAATTATTTCGTTTAAAATTTAAGCAACTATGGCATACATAATTTAAGTACTTATGTTGGGCATGCTTATATTCTATTAGCTTTAATACTATACAAGATGATCGATTTGTTCACTGTTCATGCAAAATGCCTCTTATCGTTGCATCGATCATCTTGTAATAGGATTTTAATATAATTTTAAATTTTTTATTTAAATTAATTATTGTCATATTTTATATACACTACACCCGGACAGTTACAAAACTTTATAACCTAAATGGTATTTTGACGAGGAGGTCGGCCATAGCTCTGCGAGTATGCCAGTTTTCCTTTTAAGTAAAATTTCCATAACGTTTTTTACTATAAACATGAAAATATCATAACAACTTACCCTCTAAGCTAATTTAATAGTTAAAACTTTAGCTGAAACCACTAAGCTGTTAAACAGAACTTGATGCATAAAACCTGTGATCTTAAGTTATCTGTTATCATGTCAACTTTAAAAATATAACCTACTAGAGGAAATAATTAACAGTGTTCTTCACAGCTGTTTTAGCATGTTACAATTGTGACATGTGATTTTCTTAAATTGAAAAATTGCGATTTAACAAAAAATAAAGAGAGCAATGTTATTTTTGTTTAATCCGAACGGAAAGGGAATCTCTTTTACAATAATAGGTTTTCTTTTTATTCTGCGTCTGTGTACATTTTTTTCCCTCTAACTTCCGACGTATTTTAATAATATTTCCAATACGTACTAAAAAGGACTAGTAACTTGTTATAATAATACAAAGAACACGGAATAGTATTAACAACAGAATTTTTTTTTTATTCAACTCATTTGAATGATTTACGTTTGTACTTTGTGAGTCTTCTCTTAATAAAAAAAAATCCAATTACACATATGAGCAACAGATGTTGTTCGCACAATGCAGGTACACACCCGAACAAAAGATAATATTAATCTATGCTATTCGGTAGGGTTTGCTTGAGAGTTTAAAATGTATAATTGTATGTTGTATAATAATAATATGTTAGTTCAATATTTGAAACCATATTTAAGCGAGAAATCAATTTATTAAAATTATGTAAATGTTTTTACACATATTTTCTTAACATTATAGAGCAATTTTAATAATACAGAAACTTAAAGAGTATATTATAATCAAAAAGAGGGAATTTAGTTTAAAAACATTTTTTTTTTTAAATATTTTATTCGGTATTAAACCATAAAAGTTTTGTTTTGTATTAATATTCAACAAGTGTATTTTACTTAAAATATAATCTTATTTTGAATTTACCACACAAATTCCTTTTCCCGAACAAGTCTGTTGAATTCCCCGAACGATTGCAAAGTATTAAAATTTACACCATCCAATATGTTTTTTAAATATTCTACAAAAACTTCTGCACGCAGAATAATTACTCGTATCGAAGATGGTGTTTCAATATAATAGTCGAAACCGCTTGCAATATCCAGTAGTACACATGTTCGTTCCCCTAATGTCTTTAGGGCCGCAGGTGATTGATCCTCGAAAATTATTGCATCCTCTTCTTTATTGTATTTTTCCAGTAAACTCATAATCATGGACATTCGTTTTTTTACTGTCACAGAACTATGCGAACTATCGGCAATGAGTACCATCAAATCGTCGTCCTTCTTTAATTTCAACAAGTCAGCAAAATCGTTCAAATGTTGCTTGTACAACAATAATTGTACTTGTTCGGCTACCTTATCGTTATTCAACGATTTCAGGTCGTTCAAACATATCCAACATATGCGCAACATTATAGTTTTCAACATCTGCATAAAATAATAATGGACACGCTCGAGGAAACGGATTGAATCGCACAGCAACGACGTTTCTTGAATACGATTCTTAGCTAAATACATTGTTCGATCTAGCTTACTCATAACTCGATATCGGCTAGCCACATCTCCAAAAACCTTAAGCAAATTGTTTATAATGTCATGGTTGTCCGTCACGTTGTTAATATATAAGCTTGAATCGAGATTACTGTCGACGCTGTTGAGTTTGCTGAGGTGCGCGCATGACTCTGTAAGCTTTTCGAACGCTGAAATTTGGTCTAAGCTATTCAATTCGTCCACGTATGCACCGTATTGGCGATTTCTAGGCCACACATTGGCGCATTGTTGTTTCATTTGATCTTTCAAATGCGTCTCTATGTGACCGTGAAGGATAATCATTTCATTTGTTTTTCCAAGTACGGCCATCGATTGCATTCCTTTCACGTAAAGATAAAATATCCACGACGTGTACGGACACTCCCTTAACGGGAAACCACTGTTAATTCTGGCGTTCAACATATGCTGAGCCCAATTCGGACACGCCTTGTCAACACTATTACACAATTCCTCATTCTTGTAATTTTCCGGGGTCATTACCTTCATAAAAACCAACATATCGTATGTAAGGTTACAATCAAGCTCCCGTATAGTTGTTAATAGAATATCTTTTACATTGTAAAATTTTCCAAACTCCTCTATATCTATTTTGTCGCTGGCAAAACTACCTCTGTTGAGCGCCTGAACATAATTAAATTCGTCTTTTAAATTACCTTCAGATGATTCAGTCTCGGTGTCTGTGGGTACTGCTCTCGATAGTCCAACCATTACAAGTATCACGATCGTCCAAATAAAAGTATTATAGTATGCCATTTTCGAACATATAAATCGTACTAACTTAAGTTTGTATTTTAACGCTCTTATTTTTTTTTTTTGTGTAGGCGGCCAAAATTCGGTACGATCGTCACTCCCTTATGTAAACACAACGGCATTCATCGGTTTACATAAGCATATATATCTTACACTGAAAGTAGAAAACATCTGGTTTTCAAATGTATACTTACTTAACGAAAAAAAAACCCAATACAATCCCAACCTAGCACAGTAAAAAAGTATTATACAAATTTGAGTTATAACGTAATTGAACAGTTTTTTTTTATATTCTATATTTCAAATGCTAACATTTAGTCGACAATAATGTTAAGTGAACTTCAAATCTTTCACATAACAATTGTTTTTCTCTTTTATATCAATTATTTTAATAACCGTTACTTTTCGTTTATTATTAACATTATTTAAGCAGTTTAATGGTAAAAGATGAGAAACTAAATAATTCTTACCTCTAATGAAGTCGAGTAACTTGAACTCATGTTGAGGTCAATGGTAAATTTTGTTCACCTAAAGGTATGAACGCTACTACAAATCACTAGCCAGCCCGTCTTTGATATCTCCACACTACTTATTACATTTCTAAAGCATTTGTCTTTTTCAAGTTTCCCGATTCGTATTGGTATAAGCGTAACAAATTTGTGTCCACTGTTCTACTGGGGTGACTCGACCAATTTTCGGGGTAGGATTTTGAACACCGCTAATGGGACATAATGGCGTATGACAGGTGGCATGTACTCGGGGCTCCCTCGGGATTGAAATTAAACGGGTTAATGGGCCGGATATGTAAATTTTATTTGTTTCCGATTTCGCCGGAAAATCCATTAAAAGACGAGGTCGGGACAAAATGGGTTTCGAAAAAAACACCCTCCCCGCGGGGTCGTTGAATATTTTTTTTATTATAAACCGGCCCCCCCCTCACCGTAGTGGAGTGAACTAACTTTTGGCTTTTATTTTCGACCCTATCGCACTTGCTCTCTTCCTTCGGTTTCACACTATCAACAGGTTTCAATTTAGAGGCCCTCAATACGACTCGGTCGATTACGCCCTTTTTCTGATAGTTCCCAAAAACTGATTTCACAACTTTCAAAACTACACGGTAACATTTCACGAACAGGATATAAAATAACATGCAATTTTCCACTATACAATTAGTTCAACTCGGACTGTGTACAATATGTCAACGCGCAATATGCAAACGTGGAGGGGATTGTGAAATAGGGAAGAAGAGATGGTGGAACAGGGGCAACGTGAGATAAGGAGAGGGGAGGGTAAGACAGGTGGAATGAAGCAAAAAAAAAAAAAAAATTTGGCTCCAAGACAAAGACATGTGTGTGTGTGTCAATAAAAAGCGTTTACTTCTTTGTACCGGTGTCTTCCACACCATCTGTGTTACTTAGAGAAGCATACACAATAATTACTAGTCCAAGCGTTTGTCAAACTGTGTTGTTTTCGCAGGAGCTTCGAGATGATCAACGTCATGAACGACATGAACCGCTCAAAGGACGGATACTACAACGTGTCTGTCAGTGTGTTGATCAGCGAGGAGGAACTCAACATGCAATCTTCATTGGACTGCGAACTCAAAATACCCGACACACCGTACGTGAAGAGGAAGACCTACGTTTTCTTCCCAGGTACGTGCGCCGTAATTAGTTTTGTTTTTTTTTATTTCCAGGGTAATATTATTGTTATTCGCCGGCCGTCAATTATCCGGTAGTGTTTATTGCTACTCGTTTACATACTTAACATACTCCCTTGGCACGTTCACACACACATAAATTGTTTTTTATTACAAAACTAAATGGTCGGTTAGCACGTGAAAGTATTATACTATTATTTATTATGTCCTTTTAATAATGACCACTAGGCATCCGGAGTGTTTGATGTGACGCGGGTCATTGCTTGCGTGGCCTCATACAATATATCAAATTATGCAAGTTAACAAAAAAAAAAAAAACTGTATTCTAATACTATATTATTATATTGTTATCGTCATTTGTTTATATTTTAATATGGCATCACGATCGTATAAGTATACACTGGACGGTTCCCCTAATGTCTTCGGTTGTGAATGCTGTCGCCATTACAATCATTCCAATGGATACCAAATGAATAGGTAATAAGTATTCGACTGTATTAGCTCTGTGTAATAGACCAAATTGACCAGGTTGGATTTATAGTTTATACCGTGCAGCTTCACCCTGAAAATTAAAAGAAAGCACTAAACTTGTCTGTGCTTTTAATCGATGAGTGATAAACAAAAATCAATCATCCTTACACAATGACAACATGTCGGCATTCCACACTTATTTCTGTCTATCTCTACTACTAAATTCCTCCAGAAAGACCTTTACTCTATTTGTTCTCCGTTTTCCAAAATGCCCAAATCATCTCAATTCGTTCTTAAGCAACTTATCTGTTTAACTGCGTAACTCATAAACTTTATCGCATATCCATCTCGTTTCAGCTACATATATTTTTGCTTTCGCCCTCGAATTTTACCATGTTTGTCCCACAAATTAACTGCCGCCTCTTTCCAGCTGTTTCGACAATATTATATAAGGACAAGTTGTCCATTCCTCAATTATTATCATGCATAACCGATTGTAAATCCATATCAGTTTCTCTACTTTTTTCACCACTCATGCTTTTCGAGCGCAACATAGTATTATAATCCACGGCCTTCTAAGACCTCCACCGAGGAAACGCAAACTCTAAGTACGGCGGTGTCTTTTTTGCACCCGTCGGCTGCCTCCAGTTTAGAGTGTGACTGATGTACCATGCCGGAGAGCTGACGATAAGAAAATGCAAATTATTCTGATCCTCCGGGACATACATGGCGTGACTGGCTCGTACTTGGTAAATCTCATCTCTTGCATTATGGCTGTAAGTACTTTCCATAGCTTGTAGACGAGGCAATAAAAGTGAAGGAGATAATACATATATACATATATAAATCACTGTTGTGTCAACGTCGGTGTTGATCTTTTGCCCGGAGGAGATGTAAACGCTCGTCGCGGTTTCGCATCGAAAGTATATTTAAAATTTAAATCGAAAAATGATAATACTGTATTCCATTTAGGCTACCAATACGAACCAATAATGATACACCTAAAAAATTTACATAAAACGCGACAACGTGAAAATATAAAAAAACCGTTCAAAAAGCTACATATATATATATATTTATTTTTACAATATAACGAGAAAGCCACGGGTATGGTCGGGTAGGTAAATTTACTTGTTTTGCCTCATATCGAACAATCTAACGAGGTATACTTTGCGTTATGGAGAAAGTTTAACGCCGCGGTCTTGTCTCTCGAGAAGTTTATGAAAAAAAAACATAAAAAATTATTAATCGTTAAACGTCTGCATAATATTTTTATACCTTTATTACATAGTACCTATATCGTACAAAGTTCCATGTTATTCTCTGTGCTTATCTAGTTTGTTAAACAGTAAAAGCCCTATTGTTGTCCGTGCGCATAATGTAGGTATACGAGCCATTATTTGAAGGACCCATAATTATTGTAGAAAATATTATTTAACTTAACACTGCCACCATCACCATTTATACACGGGGCTGTACACTAACGATACTCAACTGCAATTTATTAATTTCCCCGTTTAAACTAAACATTTTCCCGGGAATATTATCAGGAAAAATAATCTTAAGTGGTTTTCACCGGTGCTACGTGCTGGAAAAAATATCGACAGAGTATTTCAATATTTTCCATTTAGATTTTTATCTATCGCACTATTTGTTGGGGGAGTGAAGCGTGATGTACAATTTTTCACAAGCGTATACTCACATTTTTGCAATAAACATAACATATGAAATTGGGTGAAATTTAAATTAAAACCATAACGTGTTATGAATTTCGTTTCTTTTATTATTGTTCGCCCCAACGTTATTATTATTTTTTTTTTTATATTAAACGCGATTGGAAAAGCTATAATTTATTGACTTCATTGTAATAACTCAAGTCTTCGACCGCGTTCATACAAAAACCGTATTAGTAAACTTTTACACTTGATGTTTTTGTTTTTAAAACTCTCTTTTCGTTTGATTTATTTCACCGGGACGAAAATCAATTCGCTTATTTTTCATACTTAATAATTATTATTTAACCGTGTGATTTCGGGTTCAAGTGTCGAGCCTTGTAAATGTCTTAGATCACGGCCAGTGTTGCCCCAAGCGTGTAGATACAATTCCCCATTATTTGGCAACAGTGAATTAACGTGTTTCGGATACGTTGATTTGTGTTTTTTGTTGTATAATTTACTGGTACTGTTTTGATAAACACACTACAAACAACTCCGTTCGTTCACCTTTTTTTTTATTATGACGCTGAAAAAATATACACATTATTATGTTTGTTTTCCTGACCCGTTATAATAACTTTCGGCGTAATGTGTGGCATGTCTTCACATAAAAGCGAACACGCACGTTAGCACGCTAATAGTGTAATTTTATATAACCGACAACAACAAACGGCCACATGGAGGTAGAGACTGAATAATTACATTTTATACAGTACACACTAGCCATGTAGTATTACTCAATGTTCAAAATCACACAGGTCAGTGTGTAGGTAGGTACTCTTCGACAATGTTCAGGGTAAAATTCACATTTCAATCTCTTACTGAAAACAACAGCTGTTAACACGTTATAAAAAAATACACATAGTTTTTTTCAAAGTTCAAAGAGGACACTTCGAATGGGAACACAATATTATATTACTGTTGAAAAATGATTACACCCTTTTCGAGTGAACAATATGTTTTTTAAAATTATTATTATAAAATGTAGTAGTATTTACACGAGCCGGCGTGATGCGGTCTGTGTTTACAATCGGACACTCAAAGAGGAGTAATTATTAAAAAAATATCACTTAACCACAAAAGCCAACAACGGACAAACGGTGTAATTGACACTCGTCGGGTTGGCTGACAGAATTTTTTTTTGTGTCGAGAATTTAATCCTGTTTGACTTTTTTGCTGCCGGTCGAAAGCCAGACAAATATATAATATAATAATATTCCCCTTCGCGAGCGTTATGGGCGTATTCGTGACCACTATAAGGGTCTTTGTGCGTTGGACGTGTCGACGCGGTTTTGGCCGTGGCAGACTATTTGACATCATTACTGTACAAACAATAGCAACGATAGCAATATAATGATCATAATTAATGGCAACCGTTGGCATTGGAAAATAACGTTAGGTCGACACAGCCGATATTCTAGCATTCGAGGCAATAATTCTAACATCATATTATTGTACACTTTTTGTTTTTTTTAGAGCGTGAGCACTCAATCAATGGTTTAACGGTTAAAAAGAAACATTTTTGTTTTTTTTTTTTAATAAAATAATATTTCAGTAAAACGTATCACGAAAAATATCAAAGCCATTGCTATGATTGTGCACACAATATGTATTTTTATTTTTTATCTCGAACGTGCAACTCGTGTACACAAAATATAATACAGAAAACAACACAACATGACGTCCACCCAAAACGTTTATAATCCTTTTTCAATTGTTTCCCGTCCAGACCGTTCTATGTCGATGCTTTATATTATGGTATTGTTATTCCTTTAAAAACAACCAGTGTGCCATTTCGGTTATCCTACAAAGGAAACCATTCAATACCGTACAATATCCATAGAAAATCCAATTTATAAAATATATATATCATTTTGTTTCTAATATTTTTGTTTTACCTTGGCATTAAACGGAAGCTATATTGATCAATTCATTGTATCCGGCCGACGTCCTATTGTCAAAAGTAAAAGAAATTATCAATACAACAGTTATACTGTGGAAAAAAAATACTATTAATCTAGTAATGTAGTTTATATAGTAGAGTATGGTTACAGACTAACTTAGAAGATTATAATTATCGTTTTATGTTACTTTTCTGTATATTATAAAAATGTACGGTAAAATAACATAAATATAAGACGGTCTTAACTGTTTTAATTCCAAATAATATTGCATTCATTCGATAACAAAAATATATGTTCACTTTAAGCCGGTATTGTTAGAGTTGTAGTTCTCTACTATCGATTGGGTTTTTATCATTTTTTATGTCATTAACACACAGGTCGATAAACACACTGCAAAGGTAGTATGTTTGTATTATTGTTATTATTATTTTAAAAGCCATTGAAATTAATTGAAAGCTCGCTGTGGTTCTAAATGTTAATTGTCAAAACTTAATTAAGCTAGAGTGTGTATGCACTGTTTATGTGTCATGGCGTTATACAATTTCTAATATTCAATTTTACCAGCATAATCGTTTATCGAACGCCATTAATATGCAATTATCCTCTTAGTCAACTGGGATAACATACCATGCTTTTTTTATTTCTAGTTACAAGTAGATTGTAAAATTTTTTTTTATAAATATTATACTTCAACTGGTTTATCACCCTCGACAATTAATGTGTTGTTGCCTGGTGTGTTTATGTGTTTCTAACTATTTTTGACTTAAATTAAAAACCCTTTTTGATAGTTTAATATAATTTGTACTTTTATACGGGGTTTTTTTTCTTAGAAAAAGTTCTCGTTAAATGAAATTTCGCTCACGTTGTAAAGTATGACCGGTTGGGTTAAAAACAGGATAATCTAT